TCTACCAACCAAACCCGAGTTTATCTGTCGCCTTCTGTTAAGACACACCCGCCGCTATCACTTTTTCTTCTCCTTTCACTCGCCACCACGGGTCCTCTCCTCCTTTTCAAACACCTTGCTTATTTTACTTATTTTCTCCAGCGTGGTCATGAAGTTTGACGACCTCTTTTCCAGCTCGGATTTCCACTGACTGTGCTTCTCCTTTTTTCTTATTTTTTTTTGTCTCTCAGTCAAGTTAAATAGTCGCTATTTCTGACATGCTTGTTGACGACTTGTCCACGAACGTAGTATCCTCAGACAGAAGAGCAGACCGCTTTATAGTCGTCGTCGTCTCTACTTTTTATCCCGCCCGGAGAGTAGAAGACGGCGACACAACATTTACGCTGGTTGTACTGTTAATTCGAATTTATTTACAAGCAGTGCCTAATTTTTAAATATTTTCTTGATTCTCGTGACGACGAGTAAAAAAAATGTCATTTCATGCTCTAGCCATCTCCCAACTGGAGACACAACAATAAACAATTTAAGACTGACTGATGAGATTTAACTGGTAAACGGATTCTAGATTAAAATTTCTTGTCATTCCAAGATCAATATTTTCCTTGAGTAGAAGTAGAAACAAGATCAAAACATTGGGGCACTTACTTACTGAGTTTACGCATAGCAGCATTTTGTGTATTGGCAATGTTGTCATTTCACGAGTCGCGACCCTTGTTGTTGAAAAACAGACGTTGTTAGAGTTGGATGTCTCTAAATTCTTAATTCTTGTTGGCTTTGAGAATACTCTTGTATATGATTTGAATGGGAGCCAAGAAAACAGTTTTTCTTGTTCGATTAGATTCATGCATCCGAACGGAGAGAGAGAGAGAGAGCGACCGAGAGAGAGAGAGCTGCTTATCACTTTTTGTCAATAGAAATAACAGACTTCATTTTCACAAGTGTGCTGCTGAGTTTCAAAGTTTTGCAATTTGTTCAAGTCTGTGGTTTTTATGCAAGGAGCAAACAGCATACATTTCACTTTTCGTACGTATGCATTAAACAGATCAAAATATCGCCTAGGACGGCGAACGGGATGTCATGCTGTTACCACGTATGCAGCAGGAAGTCGAGTTATTTTCCTCCGCGTGCAGCTCCTTCAAACATGTTCGCACAAACTGTGTGACACTCTTGGATGTGCATATGTAACGAAGAAGCTGGAAATTTTAACTTAAATTATAGCTTGTCAGTAAACAATTCGTGAATGTTGGGGCGCGCGTAACATGCAAATCATGTAGCTGTGCGGAAATGTTTTGAAATTCGATGGCATGCACGATATTTCTGAAGAGTATTAGATAAGTAAATACGTATTTACCCAGAAAACCGTACACCAAGAAGCCACAAACTCAAGGATGACAGTGTTCAGTGGGTATGCACATAAAATGGTGAGCGTATGGTAGGCCACGGGTTTTAGAAATGATGAGAAAATTTGGTTAGTTGAGATTCAATGCAAATTTAATAACGACATCACTGTGACCAAAAAACAGGAGGAGAGAGGGATCCAATTTCTCTCGCATAGAGGACTTTACTTTGTTCTCATAGCTTAGCTTTTGAAGTGCAATAACTTGCCTGCTTTGTACACAGAGGAGACGATTCTCGTATTTTTTAAAGCCATCATCTAAACCTAATCTGGAAATTGAATAACCAAACGACGACGACGTAGGTTTGTACTTAGGTATTTAGAATATTACGAAATCCACCATAATCCTAACGACGACTAAAAGAAGCAATAGTTATTATTTATGTCCGCAATCAATAAAATTTATTGGTCAACTTAACGATATCCACGTTTAGGATTTTTTTCCAAATTTCAAAAAAAAATTGGAACATGGTGCGCTGATTGGTTGGAGAGAAGAGGGTGACACGAATGTAGGGTAGGTCAACCCAAATTTGTAGTCATTACCATAAAAACTCTCTTACAATGTTCTATTTTATAGAGTTTCGGATTTTGGAAAGTTTCGCCACTTAATTTACAACCCGCAAAGTTGGAATGCATACATCTTTCATGACCATCCAAAGTTGTTCTTCTCCTTGCATGAGCCATAACTTTCATCGAGAGGGGAGCATTTCTTTGCCATCGTGGTGCAGTGGCCTTCATCCATCGAGGAGTAGTCTCACTTCTCGACGTAGCAGGCAGGCAGTAGCGCATCTTGATGCTTTCTCACTCGTCGTCCTCCTCCGTGGCGTCCAACCAATGCAATCAAAGCGTACATATGCAAGGAGACAGCAGTAGTGGAAGTAAGTAAGTAGTCGTAGTCGTAGTAGTGGCGGCGGTGGTGGTGGTGGTTGAAGGAGCAAAATGTGAGTCAAATATAGACAGGAAATGAAAAGATCTGAAAAGCTTGACAAAAGGAAGTCATAACCGTGCAGATAATACCAAGTTCTTCCCTCTCGCTTTCTCCCGTGAGAACAGTTGAATCTGAATCTGTCACATGTTGTAAAATCCTTGCCCTAAAGGAGATGACCATGTTTGATAAATTGCACTACTAAAACCACACGAGTTGGCTTTTGTTGCTGTTTCTACAACATTCGTACATACAAACATTGCCCACCACTTGTACAAATGCTGTCCTTGGATAATGATTAATCAGCAAAACTGGTGGATTTATTTGCTCCAGTGCTGATGAGTTTGGACGAGGACAAACCAAAAGACCAGATCAACTCGCTTTTTGCCCATAATAAAAAACACATCTCATTACTGTCCCTGTGTGTGCCATGCGATGATGATTTCCTATTCCTGCTTTCACCAGGAAATTTTATGGCAGCTTTTCAGCCCATAACAAAAGCGAGCTCGAGTATGGATGGTGTGGCCACCCGTAGCAGCATGACATTGGAATTTATGCCAAGGAAAAAGTCCAGATTTTCATTCAACACTGCCGGGTTTAGGCTTAGGTATACATATTCTCCGCCAGTGTCCTTTCATCACAGTGACCGTACTACTATCCTCAAGTATCTCCAGTCCAGAGGAGGAGGATGGGACGATACTCTCTGGAGGGATGCATAGTGCGAAAAGCTTCTGTTGCGGAAGGCGTATCATCCCAGTCCAGGATATTTCTTTTCGAGTGACACTTATTTAAAATCCTCACAACTGGGAATGACAGTTACGCCCCTCTGACACTGGATAGATACGGGATAGCAGACATAGCATTGTGCAGGAGTCGTTCCACTTTTGAGATTGAGCACATTTACACTACTCGTACTATGATGACTGCTAAATATAGAGCGTGTGTACGATAGGAGAGAGTTTCCTTTCCTGGGATAAACTTTCCCTTCCCCAATATAACAAAGAAATAGAAGAGGAAGGGTTCAGACCACGGCGTCTTGTTCCAAGTGGGTCCTACTACTCCGTATGTATGTAGGACAATGATTGTTTCTTGGTAGGTTGAACTTGAAACATCAACATTTCCTCCTGCATGGAAGGTTCTCTTCTTCAAGGAAGTAGTAGCAGTGGTGTTTGCGGGTTGAGAGAGCACACAGTAATGAAATGAGGATGATGGTCGTAGAAGAGATCTCTTGTGGCACGTTTTAAAGCTGCTTGTGCCCTTTAAAAAAAGTTGTTTTGGTGGAGAAAGTCAGTCAGCCCTCCTTCCTCGCTCGTGGAAATCACGGGAGGCCGATCCACCTCAAGAGCAGAGTGACAATGAGAAAAACAAAACGAGTCGATATATATACGTATCTACAAATGGGAGTTTCTAAGAAGTAGGAAAGTCAACAAATATGTTTTTCAGGGTTGGCTAGACTAGAGTCAGATGCGTACAAATGTGTACTATATATTCAGATATATAAACTATTATCCTTATTTTTCTCGTGATGCATGCGTATCTTTTAATAGTACGCTATCCTCAACGTAGTCCCTAAACGTAATAGCATTCACGTTTTTTTCGCAATATGGTAATCATATAATCCCGAATTTAATCAAAAACTTTTAAATGTCCTTGAGCAAAAAATGTTTATGCAGTTTGACGTTGTTGGAGTATTTATGAGGTGACTCATTTCCTCGGCTGTCAAAAAGATACAAGGACTGGAATACGACACGGGAGACGAAGGCGACGGAGAAGAAATCCCTGACTCAGCATAGCTGCAAGAAATGTCTCTTCCACCAGCAAAACCACTGACTTTTGCCTTCAAAACCTTCTCCAAAAGTGGAGGTAGGTGAGTGAGTGGCGACTGAAAATGAATTCCAAGTCCTCAGTTTCGCCGAATTTTGCTGTCGTGTCATCTTTAGCCCATCAAACCACAGGTCGGAGAATTGAACTGGGTCTCTTGGTTGATATTTTACTGTGCCGCATTCCCGTAGAAATGTTTCTCTTTCGGTCTCCTCTCACTTACAGTCGCTGGATTTCACCTTTTCCCAACAGTTCATGCGTTCAACCGTTACGAGAAATTATTAAAGTTCATTCCACTGTTTGGAAGATATGTGCAAGTCTTGAGCCTTTATTTCCACGAGGTCTTTGAAAATATGTACCCATTACGTAATTGTAGTATTATTTATGCCTGGCAAAGTTTCAGTTTAATTTTATATGCACAGAATTTTTGGGGAAATAAGTAGCAAAAAATGTTGAGCAATTTAGTTTCGATTTGCAAGTCATGAATTTTCAATTGGATTTCCAAGCAGTCGGGTGAATTTTGTTGGTTTTTCTGCTTAACTTTAGCCTTGTCGTGATGTGGCATACATATTTGCGAGAATTTATAAGTTCCAAGGGCAAAAAGCAGGTACGGCTAAGCTAAGCCGAGTACATAAACGTTCAGGTTTTGAACGGAAACTAGTTATATGGATGGATGTATAATCACGGAGGAAAAGTGTGTATCATCCTTTCCCTCCCTCCCATTGTGTGTAATGGTGGTGTAATAATGCAGAATGATATTGGATACTTGAGAGGAATACGGTAATCATAAGGAGTGGAAATCCAGGGTTGCTGGCGGATTGGGATTAGCCACCCATAATAAAAAGGAAGAAGAACAAGTTGGAAAACTCCCTTTATTGCATCCACAAGAAGACTAATACAAAGTGGTTGGGATGACACTGACATATTTTGTTTGCTCAGTCGACGCGAATTAATTGTCCTTACCACAAAAGCAAGGCACGAGCTCTCGGCTGGAGTGGCAATGCGGTGGTGTGATGGATAATCTCTGGTTGTATATTCTTCCCACGTCATCCTCCGACAGACACACTGCGCCCAGATTGCTTACTATTGCATGCAACAGATGAATTAACCCGAGGTCTACTAAGCAGTAAAGTGCATAACTAACTGGTGGTAAAGTTTAGAATTGGTACATATTGTATCTGATTTTAGTACGTACAGAGTGAGAGAAGGGGAAGATCGATGCATAAGTTACCAACTATTAGTTAGTCCATGATTACAATTTTCTCCAGATTTGCATATCTCACAAAGAGTTTGCGTGTGACAAGGTACATATGATTCGAGATATGATTTTTTTTCTCGAACCGTTGAAATTTTGATACAAACTGCGCCTTGCTTTTTCCACCTGAACTATTTGAGTGACATGCAGATTAAAAGTTTATGCAATTGTTAGTGGTCCGACACGTGACGTTTAGAACTGTTTTGGATTATTTGCGGTATAATTGTTATCAAATAACACTGCTTGTTTTCCTCCGGTTGGTTGACCCTAGTTCATACCTAACACTCACAATCGTACATTTGCTCCCTACTTTGTACCAGCGTTCTTGGCTCCACCATTTATTTAACATCCTGCCTCACGTGTGCAGGACTTACTTATAATTTATGACATTCGCAGCAGTAGAACGATATTTTCACTTCACGACGACGCTAGCTTAACCGCGCAGAGAGATGGTCCTTTTGAGTGCGATGTATGGTGGAGAAAGTTGGCTGCGAGCTGAGCCACAAACCGGGTAGCTGCATGGTCGTCAACACAAAGGACCGAATTTCTATCCAGAGCTTGTTGGTGGACGACGAATTGTGGGAAAATGGAGCCATGGGTGATTTACGCTCCGGATTTAGACCTGGATAAACCGTAAAGAAAATAAATTTATCACATGCAGCCTGTTGATGACTTTAGAAACCTAACTTGGCCACAGGGAAGGATACTTGACAAACGTTTGCACAATCAACAGTTCGCACTCTTAGCAATTTGTCGCCCTTGACCTCATCACCACTTTTCTCGGGGACGCATATAACTCGCTTAATTTAGAACGGTCCCATCCTTGGTGGCAATATGAGCTCCTAAATTCGACCAGATTATCCAGATACATTGAATATCCAGCAGCAGCAGCAGCTCTCTCAACAAGGTCTCTCTCTCCCAGAGTGAGAGTGAGAGATTAGAGATTATCAGTCTTGACTTTTGGCACGGAAAGATGCAAAGTGGGCACGTTTCTAAAGCCCAAGCTATCTCTCTCGTATTCGTTTATTCAAGTGGTTGGAAGGCTTATAATAAATGCAACATATGGCCTAAATATTAAAATCCCACATTATTACGTTCTTGCCACACATATTTAGAACCGTACTTTCATTATGATCCCGTATTAGAGAAAATGTTGCCATTTGGCAAATTATTTCACCAAGTTTTCTCGCTTCAAGTTTTTTTGTGGAACGATTTAAGGAGGGGTCGAGACGCTACTTACTGCAGACCTAACTCGTCTTTCTTCAGCCACATCCGCCGTTGATGGTGGACGTAATTAGGGCTCCCTTCTCCTTTTTGCTGCTTTTTACTCTGCTGCTGCTTTCCTTCATGAGATTTATTTGTTTGCCATTTCGCTCCCGTCCATCGTCTTCAGGACATTGGCTCGTGGCCGTCGTTGTCCTTGTAATGGGCGTTCTTTCACACTACGTTACAAAAAACGCAACTAACCCTCATAAAGGACCGACAATAAAATCCTCAATAAATCTACCTTTAAATGTTCAAAGCCAAACGTGTGTTTCGTAAAAAAAATGTGTGAGGCGCAGTGAGTCCCATCTGTAAAAAAAATATTAGCAAAATCGTGGCATCTGATACTCTCTGTTCTTTAATCAATTTTAACACTTTTCTCCATTGCATAACCCTGCGGTGCTCGTCACAAAATTGATCAAATACTAAAATGCTAAATTGAAATAGTAAATTCGAGTTTGTTGTGGTTTCCATCATCCGAGTGAGAGAGAAAGTGGGAAGAAGGTGTCATTTATTCCGGAAAAAATGTGGAGATGCGTCTTCACTTTAAATTCCGTCGAGGCGAGATCTGCTGAATGTCTGCCTATTCCCAAAGTAGAATAATATGTGCGTCGACTGAGTGAGGAATATCGGAGGGAGGAAGGAGAGGATTTTATTGAGCGAGAAATAAAGTATAAGGCAAATGTAACATAATATCGCAATTTTCTCCTCGCGTACCAAAATCACCGGTGCGATGCAAACTTTATAACGGGTGGAGGTTGGTCGGGGTATAAATTATAAGTTGGTGGTGGGAGATTTACTGCCCACAGTTGCAGCAGACGACATCCATTTAGTGCCCAAATGGAGAACGGTCGTCGTCTCACTTCCCATCCTGTTTGTCACTTACGCCTTCGTTACGTCGCGCTGTACTTCCTGCGCCACCAACCACTTTTCCATCCCAAACTCAACAAATCGATGGAATTGGAGGAAATTGAGATTTAACTTTGTCTCTTTCAGTTTCCATTTAGCAGCAGAAAAAAAGAGTGAGTGAGTAATGTATTTGTGGCCGCAATATTTCTTCCATCATCAAAATATCGTGAAAACGGACATCGTCATGAATCTCGCTTTCTCCTTTTTGTCCCTAAATCATTTACGTCTTATGCAAATGGGTCATATTTAATTTAAAATTGAAGCACACGTTGGGGTATTTTCGACCATATTCAAGGAAGACAATCCTATATAACGTGTACACACGTTGTATAAATAAGCACGAAACGATAAAGGCGGGCGGCTACTATACCTTGGACCGAAATGAATGAAGGAAGAATCCCCTGTGATTCTTGTATTCTGTTGATGATAAAATTAAAAGCTGCAGTTTGAGGGATTTAATTCCGTTTAAAGCCACTCCTTCCTTACTCTTTACTTCCTACCTGACTTTTTGTTTTATCTCCGTTTTGCACTAATTTTGTCAATGGACAACAAAGGGGAGGGTAGTGGATGGGTTCAAAGAGTAGCATTTAGCTTCCTCGTGGAGATGGAGAGAGGAACAACTGTCGGGCAGAGAAGAAGTCAGACTACGGAATGAATGAGTTGGAAGACCACTCAATTTCCACTTTTGCAGGAGAAGAGACCCATTACTTTTGGGAGGAAGCAATCTGACGTGTTGAGAAAATGGAATGAAGGGGAGTCATTAGGGAGAGACATTAAGTCCATTCTCCTTCCTCCTCGCTCTCCTGGCCGCCCAAGGAACTCTTCTTGTTGACTGTAGCAAATAAAATAGTAATGACCCAGCAGGCCTTTGCCACTGGGGGCGGGAACAATTATAATGGATGTACTTGGACCTTGGGAGGGATCCTCCGTCACAGAAGAAGAACTAAACCAAACCGGCTGAATTACTTGCTCGCAGAAATACGAAGACGACCTGCTTTATCAACTCTCTCACTCTTTTCGTGTGCTTTCTCCCCAACTTTCTCCTGAAACAAATGAGCGTAACATTAGAGAGGAGGAGAGGAGAGAAGGGTGCCGGTGCTAATTTCACCCAACTCTCTGGCTTTCTCCGACGGAGACAATCAATACAGTTGTAAGAATACCTATAGGTTGTTGGCTTAAGATTGCGAAACTGCAGGAGAGAGAGAGAGGGCTGTGTTCTGCATTTTTATGCACATCTTATTTGCCACTCAAATGAAGTCGGCTCATTAGTATGAACCTGACAAGCTGAAAACGGACGTGCCTCTTGATTTCTGCAAGATTCCCTAAAACATATGATGTACTCATTATGTGTGGCTGGTAAATTTGATAAATTACAAAAATAATAGCTCCGTCAGCCTCAAAAAAGTGTCAAATGCAGAAAAGACGGTGCATCATCGGAGGGATTTTTAAGGGTTTTAATTACACTACGTCATACCCCCATCGCCCCAGATTTCTTATTATGAGCCGAGTCACAAAACAATTCGTGTGCTATAAAAACGACATAAAACGTCTGTAAAACTTGGATACAATTAGTGGCACTGCAGAAGAAGTCTGCTTAATTGGAACGACAGTCGCAGATTTAGTTCCCCGTATTGTGTATCCTTTCTCAATTAACTTTGCAGAATTGCTGCTGCTTAAAAGATATCGTTAGCGTTATTATACTGCCAATAACTATGATGAATCGCCCCCAGATAATGCATGCATTGTGTAATCGGTATTCATGAAAAAAAACCTACATACCAAACCAACCAACCACTAACTAACCGAACTAAACTTGGGAGCGTTGGAGAAAACGAACTTTTTTATGTGAACGTGTTACCGAAAAAAAGTGTCAGGTTGTTTGAGAGTTGGAGTGGGAGTCATGTACGTGGAGAATAATATTTCATGCCCACGACCACAATCTGTGATAATTTAGCGTCGACTTTTTGGGAACAGTTTAAGTTGACGAAGGTCAGGACTGTTGGTTGGTGGTGGAAAAATAAATTCTTCTCCAACCGTCGTGGGCCATACATCTTCACCTTGTCAAGATTTTAAACATCTCTCGTAGTCTGGAATCCTCATTTTTTATTCGCGATATTTTTAGCCTCCTTTATGCATACATGCCCAAGGACGGCAACGACGTTCAATTTTATTCATGCTCGTGGAATGGAATTTGATACTAATTCTTCTCCCATCACTTTAATCGAACTCGATAGATTATGAAATGAATTTGGTGTGAAGGGAGTAAAAAAAAGGTTTTCAAAATCTGCAGGGGACATTTTAAGTAAAATTTTGTGAATGAAATAAACCAGTGAATATTTTGGCACGGGCTCAAACCTCGTGTCACCGTTCAATGCAAGCGTCCAATATATTATTGAAAATAGTGATTGTGATTTCCTCCCTTTGTTGATAAAAATTCTGGCTGGAAGCAAATCTGTTTGTCTCATAAATTACGACGGATTGTAAACAAGTCCTGAACTCGGCTCCGGCTCATTTAGTCGGCTTTATACAAATCTTCTCCCATTATCAATAAACGTGCCTGTGGATCTTTAAATTCCCCGATGTGTGCAACTGCTGCAACTACGTCACCAGATTAACGGCGAATGTTTTCCGTTACAAATGTTAAATGCATCGATGACAATAAAACACAAGAGTAATTTAGCTGATGAAGATTAGATTTTTCAGGAATTAGTGGAGTCGCGTTGTTGATAAGGTTTAACCATGAATCTGTAAAGTCGGTGTGTATGTCACTATTTTTACGTAATATGTTTGCTGTCTGTCTTTAGGGAGTCTTTCGGAGAGTCATGATTAAGGTGCCGATCAGTCAACATTATTCTCTCAATTGGCTATTTTTCCACATAAATCCCAAACAATTCTGATGTATAATACTCAAAGCTCATTCGAACAAGGAAACGCCTCAATTTAATTTAGAAAATATTCAGTTTGTCCCTCCTTTATTTATTTGATCAATATTATTTACACACCAAGTTATCATTCCACCCAAAACACAGGAACAGTTATCAGTACACCATTTAAACCAGGCATAGTTGCGATAAACTGTTTGACAAAGGTGACCTCGAGAAAATTGCATGAAACAACATGTACAGATTGAAAATGCCCATTTTCTCGATACGCTGTAAATAAGAAGTAAATAGAAATTCTATAATCTCCCGACGTCACGAAGCATGTACATATGAAGAAACAGTTTATTTGTGAATAATTATATGTATCGGCTACAAATAAGCGGAATGGATCGGCACATGTGCTTGGAGGGATGTTTCGAAGCAGACGTGAAAAATAGCCTATTAGCTAGATTTACTTGATCGGAATGCAAATGAGCTGCTTGGAATCTTGTGGTCGTGTACGAAAGCTGGCAGTGGAAACAACACGCCGCCACAAACGGACAAGATCCCGAAACCATATTCTTCATCTGTCAGAGACAAGACAAGTACCAGTGGTGGATAGATATTCGCAGTGGCGTGTTTCCCATCCAAGAAGGCGACGGTGGGTTACAGAAGTACAATAACAAGTCAATATAGTAGAAAGCAGCAGTGCAGTGGCAGTGGCAGCAGTTTCTCCGATGATAATAACTTACGAATGTCATCCATATTTTCGTCTCGCATTTTGAAATGGCAAAGTATTACAATAATGTTTTGACAGCCATTGCCAAACTGACGTTCGAATCTTGTTGATCGAGTCGAACCATTAGATTTTGTGGCCTGATAAAATTATTTCCTCGAGAAACTTATAC